AGTCAAATCCTATATCCACTCCTAATTCCTGGCAACAACGTATCTGTCTTCCATCACAATGATTGTGTCATTTCCATAGTATATAAATGAAATCATATCTTGTGTAACTTTTCGCAATTGCCTTTTTCTCTCCACATAATGATGTTAAGAATCATTATGCTTGTATCCATCAATAGTTCATTCCTTTTTACTGAGGAGTGTTATTTTATTAGTTGCACATATCCCAGTTTGTTTTCCCATTATTCGTTTGAAAACATTTAGGTTGTTGCCAGTTTTTAGTTATTATAAATAAAGTCGCTATGAACATTTATGAAAGTTTCCGTTTGAACATAAGGTTTCCTTTCTCTAAATATCCAGGACTGTGATGGCTGAGTTATATGCTAAATGAATGTTTCACTTTATAAGGAAATTTGCAAAGTTTTTATCAAAGTGGTAGTACCATTTTATATTTCTGCCAGCTAAGTGCAAGAAATTTCTGTATTTTGCTTCACACCCTCATCAGCACATTTTCAGTATTTTTTATTTTAGCCATTCTAATATATATAAAGTGGTATTTGTATAATTATTGTTCATCATATTTCTCTCTCACTAGTCTGTCAATTCTAGGTCAGGAAATTTGTTGTATTTACAGTCTGACCAAATCTGGTGCTCAGTAAGTATGTGCTGTCTAGCTGAGAAAGTGCAAGAAAGAACAGAAAAGGAAGGGTTGATTGGAAGGCGGAAAGGAAGGTGGAGAGAGAACACGAAAAAAGATGAGGAATCTGTGGGACCACAGTCTTTGCTCAAACACCAGGCTGTGGTTCTGCCTGCAAGTAATGAGACTAGCTCTGCAGCTGCCAGGGCATCTGCCTCCACAATGGCTTCAGTGATGTGTCACGTCTTCTATTCTTTGGTAAGATCATACCACCGAAGGCGAGAAGGAACACCTCTTGTCCCTTAACTTCTCTCATCTTGTTCTTGATTAATCAGGCCCATTTCTACTTGTAGAAGAATGAAAGAAAATGCATCTATTGTATATAGGGCTAGGTCCATTTTAGATTTTGCATTAGGCTTTTCCTCTCGATAAACCACATGCTCCTATTTCACACAGGAATAAATATTATGCCACTTTTTTGGATGACAGGAGAGAATGCATTAAATGCAAATTATCTTGACAAATCTTGGGTGTGGCTTGTATGTGGCACATACATAGTGGTAACAAAGGAAATTGAAGAGGAGGTTGTCTGAGACTTCTTTTCAATGCCTGTTAAACTTTCGCAGATACTCTTGTTCATTCTTTCACTTGAATACTCCATTCAGTTCATCTCTTCCAATCCTCTTATCCCTACCATATTCCATTAAATTCCTTCTCTCTTAGAAAGGATTTAGTATATTATCTTCCTCATTTCCAAATAATATTCTATTTTTGGAATTTTAGGCAGCAGCCAGCTAGACAGAGTTTTTCTATCCCTTCTCCAAGCTTTTGAATTCATAAAGATAATTACATTGATGGTTATCCATTTTACCTATGTACAAAGTGAGCCCTGCCTGTAAGACCCAGCCTTCGACTACTCATATAGTTCTGTTTACTGTGTTTTTCTACCAACAATAAGATATCCTAAGAAATAAATTTGTATGAAAACACTAGATTTGTTTATCCAACATTTATATCACATTTGGTACAAAACACTCTGAATTCAGAATTATCAGAGCTTTAAATACTAAATATATTTAGCTTATTGGGATTTGCCAATCTACTTAAAAATTTTAAAAAGCATAATTGATATTCTAAAACTAATAATTTTATATTTATTCAACTAATATAATTAAATTACTATAGGCAATTCACTGAGGTAGAATATTTTATTCTAGAGTCTTCATTGTATCTGAGTCAACTTTAAATCAATCTTTTGTTCATTGTAATGAAGTAAGGCAAAGATTTAATATCAATTGATTCTTCACGTCAGAATAGGTACTGAAAGCCAGTACAACCCAGAGACTAAGCATTGATTGTGTAACAATTCCAGGTAAATGTGCAATATTAGCTGCAGGGCACAAACAAAGCTCTCCTCCTCTGCAAGTCCTCTGCTCACTGGTCTCACTTCTCAGTCCTCCTCTCACTCTTGCAGGCAGAACGTTCAAAAGTGTAATTTATAGATTAGATAGAGTTGAATGAATCCAAATCACGCAAAAATAATATTTTTATTGGAGAAACAGGCATATCTTACTTAAAGAAAAATGTTTAAACTGTTGATTTAAATAAATTCATCTGTAGGTAATATCGAAAATAAGTTAATTGTTCCAAAAATACCACTAATATTGAGAGTAAATACAACACTTAGCCGTGCACAATAGGTATGTCAAATATCATGACAAGTAAAAATATATACTGTAGGTGAAAAGAAACTGCAGCAATCAGAATTGATGCTCTATTAACTATGCAAAAAGGACTCAAAAATAAGAGATTTTTGAAAAGTCACCCTTACGATTTCTGTGTTTCTCCTTAAATTTGAGCTTCAGCTTTCTTGTTCACTACCGTATTTCAAGTCTGTAGCAGTGTCTGGCTCAAGGATGAATGACTGATGAAAAGTTAAAATTGTTTAAAGGCTGCATATGGAATTCCTGCAGAGCCCATATGTACAACCACATCTCAATTAAAAGACAAACCACAGGAGCTCTCTGTTAACCATAAAAATAGGAAATTTTTAAGGAAGGAAAGAATAAATTTCTCTAGTTAATTAGCAATCATAAAAGTGACAGGAGAAAATTTGTAACCTCAGAAGTAGGCTTTTATTAAAGAAGTATATTTTTTTTAAAATAGAAAACTAATGGACTAAATTACAAAGAGATTGGGAAGTAATGTATAAGATGGTTAAATCAGAATTAAAAGTGGAAGTTGAATTCAAAAACAAAAACAAAAATGCAGGAGATAAGAGAAGCTAAAGCGAAGTTAAAAAATCTAAATAATCCCCAAATTGACGGTGAAGTATAACACACAAGCTGCAGTAAAATGACAATTTGGAAATGTAATAAAGAAGTTTAGAATCATCGCAGTGAATAGACCAGTGAACATAAATGGAAGGCCTATGTCTACTGGGCTAAGTTTTGCAGCTGGCCATGAACAGCTTGAAATCTTCCAAAAATTTGTTACAGAATCTGGACGTGCTCTATTGGGAAAATTGTATGCCCCAAAGCATTGTTCCTTGGGGAATGTTCCTCCACCACAACATAGTAGAGTTGTCAGTGAGTTTGGGAAATGTTTCACACTACGTAACTTCTATTGAACTTTCAAATGCACGTTTGTACATTAAAAACTCTGAACTCTGAGAAGTTCTGCGGTACACTTGTTTAACTTTGTAACAATTTTCCATGACTCTTTATTTGCCATGGAACACAGTGTTGGCCAGAGAACTAAGGGATGCTGCCATGAGTCTATTCAATTGATCATTTTCTGCTCATGAAGTGCCAGTTCAACTCTGCTGGGTTTGGATACAACTGTCAATCAAGGTTTTGCAGGGCTAAAGTGATCAAATTAAGGTATAAACTAGGTTTATGGTCCAAATAGTCTATGGAAAAGTGATAGTCTATGGTGATGAATAGTATTTTAAAAATCCTCATCTTTCACCTAGAGTCCTCAATTGTTATTATTCTATTGTTTTTCAATTATCATTCTCTCTATAGACTGACAATAGATAGAAGATAGACAGAATTCTCTTCCGAACCATTTGAGAATAATTTGAACAAGTTGAAGACATCTGGCAAACTTAATCAAAATTCTCAAAAATACATATTAATTTAAAATTCTCAAAAATACACAATTATTAAGTCTGTAATTTTACTTACAGTAACTTATTGTAAGGACATATTTATAAATATGAAAACTTTTAATTGTAAGAATGTTAATCACATCAATACTGAAAAATTGGAAATGGCCTGTATATTGAACAATAAGACTTTGGTTGAGCAAATCGTACGGTGCAACTATATACTGCTTCCAATAGTCTTCATGTTTGTCACCCATCTTTGTTCTCCAGAGCCACTAGGATAAAGTTGAAAATTCTTAATATATCTGCCTGTGTTGATCACATCACTTTATCACTACTAAGACTTCCTTGATCCTATTTGAGACTCCTTCAGAGAAAATGATCATCCAAGATACCCTCAATCTCACATGGCCTTGATGTATATTGGTTTCATCACATATGTTTCTCTCACCCTCCCTGTATTAAGGATCAAACCAGGGATGACTGCACATGTAGAATCTGTTCTCCTTCAGGTCTCAGGTACTCCTTCCTAATATCCTAGGAAACAGGTAATATGACTTGATCCAGGGCAGCAATAAAAAGCCTGGGCTGTTCAGGAAGGTCCACTTAATGTTAAGAGCAAACTAACTTAGACTATAATCAGAACCTTATCGAATTTTCAATAGATAACCTATCCTAATTTCAAATAGAGCCGATTTCTCAAAATTACATATATTTGTGAGAATTCTTAGGAGAAGAAGAATGTTAGCTTTATTCTACTGAATATTACATAATTTCCAAAGGAAATCATTTGACTTTGATATCTCAGATTCAGATATTCTGAAGTAAAAATAAACGTGAAATTTCAAATAGGGAATGTTTGGGATTATCATATTATAAATACAAACATTTGGTTGGAAAAATCATAGAATCTGATATAGCACTTATGAAATAAAAAGAAGTAAAGTTAGCTATAAATATTACAGACATTTCATTATATGGACAAAATTCTTAGAATCAAAAAAGAAACACTCCAAAATATAATATTTATTTAAAAGGTGATGTAATTTGTGTTGAAAATATTATTTGGGAAAAGGCGCTCAAAAACGGAATAGAAAATGCAACATGCTTAATTGATTTGACTGGAAATATCAGCATGGAATTACTGGCTCTTTTCAAGGAGTGTACAAGATACCACACAAAATTTAATTTTATTTAGTTTATTAATATAATCAAAACTTAAGAAATGAGGAAAGGACACAAAACAAGATTTAGCTGAACTATACAAAGAGAACCAAAAGAGTGACAAGATTTTCAAATGGTGACAATTTTATTATGGAAAGTTAGTTTATTAACTAATATAAAAATAAATCTACAGTAGCAACTGTGACTCGAATTGAGCCAGTATGCAGCACTTGTGACACCCACCCAGTCAGCAAAGTACTGCATGGACCTCACACCCTCCTCGGCTGGCGCACACTGTCTGACCTTTGACCTGGAACCTAAATAAAGACCCCTCACAGTACAGGGTTTCTGGCCAGATATATTTTCTCCTCAGCCTACAATCGGTTACGCACCATTTCTATACTTTCCATAGTCTCTTTTGAGATTGCGACAGAGCTCAAGAAAAAATTCACCTGGCAAGTGCTGAGCAGGGAAAAATTAAAAAGTACTTTGAGATGGGTTAGGGATAGTTTGGGAGTACCAGTAGATTCTGACAAATGAAGAGATTAGAATGGGCATCATCAAAATGCACTGAGGTAAGGGGCCCATGGATAACTTACAGAAAAGTACAAGACTGGATAACATTGAAAGAACGAAGAGACCACTGTTACACTTGGGAAGTCACATTCAAAGAACAATATAAAGAAAGAAAACCTGAATGGGAAGTACTTCCTTTTACATTTTTAAGATAAAACCAGTTTTTAAAAGGAATATAGAAACCAAATAAAACAAAAAAATAAAATAGAAATAATGAGGGTTTAAATAAATGTAATACAGAAAGAAATAATTCTTTTACTTCCACTTGACTTTGTCTGAATTTTTGTAAAAGTTATATTAAGTCAAGCCAGTTTTTCTTTATTGGTAATTGATACATTTTATCAGACATTTCTGAGAAAAAGAAGGGAACCTAACTGACATCTTTCAGGTAGACTGGGAGAGTGGAAAGGAAAAGAGTATATGAAAAGAAAGTCTCCAAGGTCTTTACGCTCACTCTTATGCCCAAAGTGTCTTTAACCTGCACATCAAATGACAGGTTCAGATCATGGAAAACATCACCACCAAGGACAACAGAATTATGACCACAAGTGTAAATGGCTCAGTATGCTGCCGAGTACCATGAAACACATGAGCAGCGTGAGAGAGAAATTTCTATGCACAGAAAAGGAAGGAGAGGCGCACACTAATGGCTCCGCTTTATATGTTCTTTCTATATCAGGAGGTAATGCCGTCATCCCTTGAATCTGAAAATGAAAGAGCAGACAATGCCAGTGAGTGTACGATTTAGGAGCAGGACTACAGCCAAGCTTGCTCGGATTAAAGGGGGGTGGGGCGGTTGTCTGCTGAAGTTGTCAAACTTTAGGGAGAGTCAGAACTTTAGGGATTCCAAGAGAAGTGGAGAAGAGGGCCAGACATGCCTTTGGGAAAGAAGACAAACCAAACAGGCTCCAATGCTTTTAGAAACTCCCATTTCATCTTATTCCTGCTTCGTCACAACTTAAGTTTTAGAATAAATTTCTCTCTTCAAAGGAAGCGGAATCAGGAGTTTTCGGTCAACCCAAGTAAATTATCAGCTGGATCACTGGATTTATGGATATTTGTCTATTCCTTAGATTTTACCCATTGTAGATTCAGGTAAAATGTGACATCTGATTTCCCCGAAGATTAAAACAAAGTAGGGCTTACCGACCACTCTGCGTTGTCTGTCTTGGAGCATCTCACGTTCACCGGCAGGCTAAGGACAAGCTTATTGAAGGAGAGACCTTCCTTTTTAGTCCATTTAAACTTATTCATTGCGTCCATAAAGGAAAGGTTTTTATATTGCTTGGGACTTTTGATAATGAAAGGCCAGGTCCTAAATTTAAAATTAAACACACACATACACACACACACATACATAATTAGTCATATTTGAAATAAAAGCATTACATGCTTCCATTACTTTTCAACATTCTAAAATAAACCTCATACTTGTTCATTTTTACAAACATAGATAACCTAATGCAATGCACTGATGAACTCATCAGCGGTTACTAGAAGAAATGCATACCAAATAAAGAGTCTTCTTTTAAAACGAAATTCCTTTTTTAGTAGCAGATGGATATTATTTTTAAACAAATAATTTTGGCTCAGAAAGCTTTCCCAGAGCCTCACAATTCCTCACTTTTATTATTATTATTACTATTATTATTATTATAATTATTAAGCTCTAGTTAATATAACTGATGAGCAATCATTCTGAAGAGTGCTATGCTAATGGTGTAATAAAGAAATGTGTACATTCTTAAAAGGTACTGCAACATAAAAATTTCAGTTCCACACAGTTAAAAAGCCTGACCCCTAGTGGCTGCCTTGTTTCGGCTTACCTAAGTGGAGATAAAGATTTGAATTTGAATCAATGTTGTTAAAATTTCACTGAGAAAAAAATACTCTCTAGACCATATGCTCTGCTTCTACTTCTTGCTCTAAAAATAAAAAAAGAGTGTTAAATGTTCCAGAAAGAAAGGAATTACAGAAAAATGATAAGACCTACTTGAATGAAAAGATACTCTTCATTAAATGTAAGTTTATATTATTGATTCCCAAAAAAGGGAAAAGTGTAAGAGTTGACACATAACAAAAATTTACATGAACTAATCCATGGACCTTCCAGGAGATTATCTAGGGTAATTAGTAGGTATCAGGCCCCCATGCACCCCAAGATGTTCCAGTGACTTCCAGTAAATACCAGCCAATTAACCTTCAGTTGAGAAATCTACATTTTAATATTAGATCTTCACAATTGCTTCATCTATTTGTCATTATTCTCTCTCACACACATAACCTACTCAGGCATACTGAATATATCTTTTTAAGTAAATTAAACATTCTTTATTAATTTTTTAGAGTTTTGAAGATAAATTTTTTAATATTGAAGTTACAATTATTTCTTCCATACTCTAGTAAGTGATACTATGAATAAAGCATATATAGAAGGGTTTTTCTATTCTTCATTCCTAACTTCCTTTTCCATTAATTAAAGTCAATGTGTCCTTGTTGCGTTTTAAATGCATTATTTTGTATAGAAACTTTAAAGTTAAATGCCATAAAGAAAGAGCAATCAGCATCACACTACATTAAGCACATCTATCAATGATCCAAAATCTATAGCACTGTAAAATTAAACATGCTGTGAAGACTTGTAAAGATATAATCCAGAATTAGTACAAAATAAAAACTTGAAAGGGGCCTATTTTGTTTATATATAATGTCCTTTCAAATACACTAAAAGCTACATCTAGGTTTTATTTAGTATAAAATAATTTTAAGTCAAATATTAAAATTGAAATTTACTTTTCGAAAAAGTAAAGTGCCTATCCTGGAAAAAAAGAAAATCAACTTCATAACTAGGGAAACACTAGGGGAAAATCATCAGCCTGTAACCACCTGACACACCACAAGGTGGCACTGGAATTTCTACTAATAATACAGGGAGGAGGCAAGAGAATTAAAATGTTAATTAAGTCACATTCAGAGACCACAATATGCTGATCAGCCCTGCAGCCAGGCTAGGAGGACACCTGCAGAACAAAGGAAGACTTCTGCTGGATTACTAACAACCCATTCCCCACACCTGTGAAGGGGAAACAAGAACAAAGAGTCATTCCTTATAGCTAAAACCATGGGGGAACCTATGGATTAAAGGCTGGGAACTGCCAGCAGGCCTTCCACTCTACATATTCTTACCTTTTCATGCTTCATATCCTTCCCCTTCCTCACTGTATGTCCATATCAAAGGAAAGGGGTTAACAAAGTCTTTTAAACAATAACTCATGGGAACTAAAGAATGATATATAAACTGAATTCCCGAACACTCAGCTCCTCTCTACTCACTATCTTTCCAAACCTCTCTTGGTCCCTCTCACTCTCTGTCTCTGAGAGGAGATCACACTGTCTGTGGAGTGTTACCCCTTTCCTAATAAACTTTCCTTTTGACTCTAACTTTGGCGTGTGTGTTGAATTCTTTCTTCACCTTCAGCCAAAGGACCCTCTTCTTCTCTCGGTACAGGCCTTGGTTTCCCCGTCACTTGGGGAAATTTGCCGTCCTGCACCACTAACGCGCTGAGGTGGCCTACCTACACTGAATGTTCTGCAGTCTTGCTGATAAGAATGAATACTGTATTATCGTATATAGATAAAAATCTTTAAAAACTTTGCTGCTAGAATATATCAGGAAATTAATAGTTTTTGAGTTTTCACAGAATAAAGTGACATAAGAGATATAAACACATTTGTTAACTTAATATAAATACATGGAAAGGATGTAGAAAAGGGCAAACTCAAGAGTTCCTATGGTAGAGACTGCATGACTGAGTAACCTGGGGATGTTGTCACCAATCTTTCTGAGATGGCATCATTGTCTCATGCTATTAACTTTATTCAGGCCCTATTCTATAATATCACATCCTCACTTCTAACCTTTCCAGCCTGTCCTACACCACACTTCCAGATTACCCCTGGGGAAAAGAGAAAGAAAAAACAGAAAGAGGAGAAATCCTGAAAAAGTAAATATTTATCCTGAATATTTTTCCTTAAAAGACCAAGCTTTAAACCAAAAACAAGTAACCCTGAAGTTCTGTTATCGTTGAGACTGGGAGTTAAGAATATTAGGAATGTTCTAGATATTAAAACAGTTACATTTCTGCACATCTGAGCAGTGTGCAAATGTCTACTCAGATACATATATAAATAAAAGGGTATTATTTATATAACACTGTAGTTGATAAAAATAAATCACATTAATATTATGATTTAATATTGATGAGTAATTTTCCTTTGTAAGTTTAATTGACAAGTTGATTTAAAAATATATATGAAAATGGAATAAACTTAGACTATCCAAAATAATTTTGGGAAAAGAAAGAATGGCAATGTTTGGAGACCTACACACCCTTATTTCAAGATATTATAAAACTATAATTACTGAGTGCGGTATTACAGTAAGGCTATACATGTACAGCAATGACAAAGAATTCAGAGTTCAGATATAGTCACTGTATTGTTAAATGATTTTTCAACAAACATTTCAGGTAATTCAATAAGAAAGGGTAGGTTTTTCCATCAAATGGTTCTTAAACAACTTGATATCCATATGAAAAACAATGAACCTCAGCATTTACTTCAAGCTACACACAAAAATGTATTCAAAATGGATCAACCAAAATGTAAACCCTAAAACTATAAACTTCTTAGGGAAAAAAAACCACCCAAACAAACAGAAAATCCTCACAAACCTGGATAGGCAAAGATGTCTTACACAGGACATCGAAAGCACAAAACAAACCAAAAATGGTAACATGGACTTCAAAAAACAAAGCTTAAAAAGTGAAAATCAAGCCACACACTGGGAGAAATTATTTGTAAAAATATATCTGACAAAGGACTTATAGCCATAGTATAAAGAACTCGTTAAAAATACAAAAAACTCTTACAAGTCAATAATAAAACAATCCAACTAAACAATGGACAAAAATTTGAACAATTAAAAAGGAACATATATAAATGACCAATAAGAGGCTCAACATTAATAGTCATGAGGGAAATGGAAAATAAAACCACAATAAGATATCACTACATACACACTGAAATAGATAACATTGAAAATACTGAAAATACAAAACATTGAGAATGTTAAACAATAGGAGCTCTTATATATTACTGGTGAGTAAAAGGATACACATTTGGGGGAAATTTTGAGAGTCATAAAATAAACATAAACTTAGTATACAATTCAGTGATTCCATTGCTAGGTATTAACCCAGAAAATTGAAAACATATGTCCATATAAGACCAAAACAATAATGCTCATAGCATCTTTCTTCCTAATAGACAGAAACTAGAAACAACGCAAATGTCTTTTAACTGAACTCATAAATGAACTTGGGTATATCCATACAGGGGAACACTACTCAGCAGTAAAAATGAATGGACTGCTGATACAAGCACCAGCATAGATGAATCTCAGAAACCTTCTAAGTCAAAGAAGCCAGGAACATACTCTATGATATCATTTATATAAAATCTAGAAAAGATCAAACTAATACAATGCCATAAAGCAGATTCACAGTTTCCTGGGGCTTTCTGTAGAAGGTGGGATTTTCTCCAGACAGGCCTAAGAGAACTTTTGGGGGTAATAGAAATCCTCTACATCTCATTCGTGATACAGTTAAATAGGTGCACACACATGAGAAAGCATTCTAATGATATACTTAAAATAGTTGCATTTTACTGTATATAAATTATACAGTAAATAAAAATTATACAGTAAAAAAAAATATGCAATAAAAAAAGCCAGGAAAACTGACTTAACAAGGTACAATTCCGAATCCTCTTGACACTCTAAATCAATGCATGTTGAGAAGTACTCAGCGAAATTGAGTCTCTCTGATAAGAAGTGAAGCCTGGAGAGCCACGACTGATTTGACAGCATGATATAAGACCTGGGACATTCCTGCGTGGGAAGCGATTCAGCCCTTACCAGTTAGAAAACTTTTTTGCAAAAAATTTTAATAAAATCTGAGGAAGGAATAAATCATGCATTGTGGTATATCATCCCATTTCTACACCCTCAACCCTTTACTATCAAAATATAAAAAAGTATATACATAACATATGTCATCCAAACCTTAGTGGTGTGGAAAAGCTACTCTCAGATTTGCTTAGAAGGAACTCAAGAATTTGTCTATTTTTATCAAAGAGAAGTTTGAGACAAAACTGACTCAGCAGAAGCAAGAAATGACATAACAACCATGCGAACCTAGAGAGAAAAAGAAATTATATCACATTCCATGTAAAGAAACAGAAAAAAAAAATGACTAGAAGAAAATATAAACCAATTATACTGGAGAGAAGTCCCACAAGTGTTTCATGTTCTAAGTTTATTTGATAAGAACATGAATTCAATTAAACAAGAATTCAAATACAAGATGACAAAATAACACAATGCAATGAAAAGGGAGATAGCAAACTAAAAGAGATAAATTTAAGACAAAATGACTTTAGCACCAAATAAATTAGAAAAAGCAAGAACCAGATGAGCACATCTGAAAAAATACGATAAAATTCTTTTTACAAATTCTAAATAGGTTAGAAAAAAAAAAATTTAGATATAAGAAATTTCTCTGAAATGAAAAAAAAAAAAGAAGCAATCTAGGTACTTAATATATGTACTGAAACACTGCATTTCGGGAAATTTTGATTCAAATGCTAAACACTGAAATATGTTCAATTTAACTTATGCATTCTACAGGTAAAGAACGAATGCTCCCACTCATCCAAAGAGATCTCCAAAGGGGAATAAAAATGACCTTAAAATATTATATCCAGTCAAATGCTGTCCAAATATAAATGCAGAAATTCTCAAATGTAAAAGAACTCAGGGCATAAAGCACCTGGAATTTAAGGATGATGAATCAAATTCTAAACTCAGAAATGCAGAATTCATATACAGATTAGAGATTATCACTGAGTCTATTTAAAAATAAAAGTTGCATTAAAATTGTGAGAATTAAGTTTCAGAATTAAATGTGAAAATTAAAAATACTTGACAATACAAAAGTATAATATAAGTAATGAATATTTGGAGATATAGAAAAGGGAGGTGGGAGACAATGCGAGAGTATGAATGTCCACATTTTTTATGATCTAAACTTGAAACACGTAGTTTTAAAAAAGTGAGTGCAACATTTTAATGTCTTTCATGATCTATTTTCTCAACATTTTCAGCCCCTTTATAAAACAGTTATGGTTAAAAACAACAGCACCATTGATTTGAAATTCAACACCTGTTCAGTTTTAGTTTCTTTTTCTTGTGATAAATTTTAAAAAATTAAATGTTTTGTTTAAAATAGTGTACAAGTTATAATTTTTATAACAATAATCTATTCATCTTTATATCAATACCTACATAGAAGGATGGTTATAATAATAATCAATTTATGTTAGTATAACTTATTTTAACAGTATTTGAGATGACTGCTTTAATCTTCTTCTTAAAACTTTTTTATGCATTACCTAAATTCCTTATAATAACTATATGTGACTTTTACACATTATAAACACAAAGTGATTTTTCCTATAAAGAAAAATAGGAACACCTCTCTTGATTTTAGAAATAGAACAAATAACATAGGAACTTTCCATCACATAAACCTCTCTGTAAATGCATAGGGAAGGTTGATGTATGGTGCAGCAGAGAATACAGAATTGATCTAAACTCATTATCTAGTCTTTTATCTAATCTTTGTGGCTTTTTGTTTTTTTCTTAAGCCTTGCCAGATCTGTAGGAGGTAGAGAAAAATTGCATCCTCCAGCACAGACAAATCCTGAGACAGGATGTATTTGTCTCTATTTGTCTACTAAGTCATCTTCTAATCCTAGGATTGCTACAGAATGTTTAAAATGAAGCAAGGCACCTAACTAATTACTGTATTAAAAGCACAGATAGACGATTTGGGGTTATAAATTATATGATATTATTTTTTGGTATTGTATCTGGAAACCAAATTAGCAATTTTCTTTCAAGCAAAACAGAAAAAGCACCCAAACCACTTCTCTTTGTGATCTTTTAGCCAGGGCCTTGTTGGTTTGGCCTTCAATAATGTTTATGTCACTTTGACAATGAACTAGACTTGAAAGTTTGATTTAAAGTCCAAACATCTATTTGATAACAGAGGCTCTTTTTCACTCATATTTTTGAAGAATAAATATATTTAACAATGTAGTTAAATGGTTTTATGTAGGCAATGCCATCTCAAAACTGGCTTTGTTCTGTAAAGCAATTCTGTCCTTCTAAGTAATGATAACCCAACTTCAGTATTTCCTGGGAGAGATCAAAGGCATGGGACACTGACAAAGCTCATTGGGACAAGGGAGCGGAGCAATTTCAGAGACTTCACTCAAGATGAATACAAAAGAAAACAATTGGACCATAGAATGTATTTTGAATCATCGTCTTGTAAACACACAGCTTTGAATATGTATTTGTTTTCAGCATTCTCTCAAATTAACCCCTGATTAGGAAAAATCTCTAGTCGATGTGCAAAAAATATGCTCAAGGAATAAAAGGCTATTTAAATGTTAGTAAGAAACTATATAATAGCAATATTTTAAAATAAAATATCAATATGTTATAAAATAAAATATCACTATTTTAAAAACGAAATCTTACTGTTTTTATGATGACATTTTATGTGCTGTTTTGATATTTATTAATATTTTATTTATAATTATGTATTCAGATTAAAAGGCAGATATATATATATATATCTATACCGTCTTAAAGATCTACGTGTATCTTTTTCCTAATTACATCAGTCTCTTTCATTTTGAAAAGTCCTAATGATTAGAAATTTCTTCTTTATACTAAAACAAAATACGCTCCAAAGTTTTTCCCAGGCACCCTTATTCTTCTCTGTGGGGTTATTAAGAATAGATTAAACCCTTTTTTCTACATCAACCTTAATATATCCAAAACAGAATTTTCAATTTCTCCTTCAGTCTTCCCTATACTATTACACTATTCACACATCATCATGTTTTCTTCACTCTTGTCCTTCTCTGACCATCTCCCTGAGATGCAATGAATCAACAAGGCCAGTGAGTGCTACTTTCAAAAGGTAACCTGAGAATGTTACCATTTCTCATTAACTCTACTGCCACCACCTTGCTCCAAGGCGCCCTCACCTCACACCCGGACAATATTAATAGTCTCCTGGTTGATATTATTCTTTCCAGTCTTGCCCTCCTGGAGTCCTTTCTCAACACAGTAGCCAAATCGACTTTTTTTTTATCCAAAGTCCCTACGTTGCCTATAAAGTCCTACATAATCTGGTCCCACTTGCTGTCAGACCTCCTCACTCATTCTCTACCATATTTCACTCTGCTCCAGCCAAATTCACCTTCTTACTGCTCTTTGAACATGCCAGCTTAATACCCACAATAGGATCATTACCCTGACTCCTCTCTGCATAAAGTATACTGAGATAGCTTTGCACGGCTTACTTCTCATCACTTAGGTCTCTGTTCAAACATCACCTTCTGTCATGGGTTGAATATTTCTGTCCTCCCAAAATTCATATGTTGAAATCTTAACACCCAAGATGACGTTATTAGGAGATGGGGCCTTTGGGAGTCTCTGCCCTCCTGAATGAGATTTAGTATCCTTATAAAAGCAGCTTGAGAAAGCTCCCTTGCCTCTTCTGCCATGTGAGGTTACTGTGAGAAGATGATTGTCCATGAGGAAGCGGAGCTTCACTAGATGCTGATCTGTCAGCAATTTTATCTTTGAATTCCCAGCCTCTTGAACTGTGAGAAATAAATTTCTGATGTTTATAAGCCACCCTGTCTATGGTATTTAGGTTCAAGCAACCCAGACTAAGAGACCTACCCAGAGAGGCATTCACCGCCCTGTTGTCTTAATTTTTTTCATAGTATCTACTAATATCTAAAATTTTATGTTTTTATTATTTGTTTATCAGTTTTCCCTCATTCTAGAATATAATTTTAAGAGGGCAAGAATAATATTTATCTTGTTTATTATTTTATCTTAAGTAGTTCTTATGAAATGCAGTTGTGTAGAAAAAGTTAACATAGCAGAGGTAAGACTGCCACCTTTAGAAATGCCTGCGTGGATGGCTGACCTTTGGCTGTCATCAGGGAACTTAAATATTGATCAATTTCCAATACTAATTTAAAACTTTCTCTAAATGATTGTGCATAGACTATTTGTACAAACCATGAAGTTTATGTCAAACACCTGCTTTCTTCCTGGAAGTCTAGAAATTTTGGTACTTGCTAAGCAGAGGACACCTATGTGACCAGCCCCCAATAATAACTCTGGACACTGAGTTTCTCTAATGAGCTTCTCCAGTTCACAACATTTCATGCACGTTGTCAAAATTTGAAGCTGGTGGAATTAAGCATATTCTGGGTGACTTCACTGGGGGAGTCTCTTGGAAGCTTGTACCTGGTTTCCTGTAGACTTTGTTTTGTCCCATGTGCCTTTTTGTTTTCTTCATTTTTCTTTATATTCTTTCATGGTAATTAATATTAGCCAGGATTATAAGTATATGCTGAACCCTTTAGGTCCTCCTAGAAAATCAGTGAACCTTGAGGCAGTCTTAGCGACTCTGGACAAAGCAACCAAAAAGCTCACCTGGTCTCCCCAGTTGAAAATAATCAAATAGAACAGCAAATAAAGGAATCTATAGCATGGTGATAAATCCAATATGAAAATAATACCAATACTTCCCTGAGATATATTACTCCTGTCATGAAATTGATTTATTACTTACGTGACTGGCCTGTAGATCTCCTTAACACCAATGAACTGAAGTTGTTCCATAATGTCTGGAATACTCGCACATCGAGTAAGATTGATTCTTGGGTAATAAAGCAGGTATGAGAGACACATTTCATTCCTGGTGCTTAGTCCTCCCTGAAAATAGAGATATTTAACTTAGAAAATATACATATTCCACTAACTCTGACACTTACAGCATACAAGCCACCAATATCATACAGTTCTTTCCAATATTAAAACGTGATAAATCCTAAAACTGAAAAATAATAATCCAAGTGACAATTTAGTTTTTTTAAAAGGTAGTGTCACATTTAAAAATGAATGGAATTATTTTCATCTCTTTAAAAGTTGCCTTTCTTAAATAACCTAATAATCTCCTTAAAGTTCTGTTTATATGATATATGTTTCTCACCATAGTGAACATTTCAGAGGATTATGGGGATGTTTGGTTAATATGATACCCATCAGTCAGTCTGATGAATCTTTGCCTGGTTGTACTGAATTTTCTATAATCTTATTGTCATGTGTATAAACACCAGTAGCTGCATACCACAGGAGAGATAGATTTCACATTTGAATTATCTACTAAAAAAAAGTATCAAAGATCAGAAGAAGAAAATTTAGAGTTGCTACAATATATTATCTACAATGTCCAGTTTTTAACCAAAACTTATTAAACATGAAAAGTATCAAAACAGGAAACTATGATCTATACTCAGGAAAAAAAAGTTCATAAAAACTAATTATGAGAGGATACAGATGTTGGATTTAGCAAAAACTTAAAAGCATATATCTTTAAAAGGTTACAGAAATGTTCAAGTAATTAAAGGTAAATACATTAAAAATGAGTAAACTATTAGGGAATGACATCAAAGGAGGAAAAACATAAAAGGAACCAAACGAATTCTAGCGTTGAAAAATATCATAAGTTAATAAAAAATTCACAAGATGAGCTCAACATCATATTTGAGATGGAAGGGAAAAGAATCAGTGAACTTAAAGATAGAGCAATAGAAATTTTCCAATCCAAGGAATAGAGAGAGAGAGAGACAGAAAGAAACAAAAAGACTAAAGAAAGTGAAAATTCCTCAGAGATCTGTGGGACAATAGTAAATGTTCTAATACACATGTAATTGGAGTTCCAAAATGAGAAAAAAAGAGGGAAAAGGATAGAAAAAAGAAAATAAGGGCTGACATTTTCTCAAATTTACTGAAAAACATTAACTTACAGACCCCAGAAGCTCAACAGTGCTAAAGATAAACATGAAAAAAGCCATACCTAGACACATCATAGTCATATTGCTGAGAGCCAAAGACAAAAAGAAAATCTTGAAAGCAGCAAGAGAAAAATGACAAATCAATATGGGAGAACAATACAATTGACAGCTGACATTTCATCATAAATGATCAAAGTAACAAAAAGACACTGGAATTACATACTCAAGTGCTGCAGGGAAAAAGAAATTAACCAAGAATTCTATATCAAAAATGAAGGTGAAAAGCTTAGTAGTATTGTTCGTGGCTATAAATGAATGTAGTGGCTAATATGCAATGACTTTACAAATTGCAAAAACATATGTTTACACTTGATGAGCAAGGCAAGAATGGGCAAAGGGAGAAGCTGGTCTACAAATGAGGCTGTAAGAGACGCCTAAGTAAATATCAGATTTAATCTATCCGTGAGCTGAGGTGGCTATCCAGAGTTTTACCAAATTGTAGGAAGGGAGCTGGGCCTTTGTAACCCCATATCAACCAGTCATTAGCTGCTGTCTGCCCCACTGAAGGGAGCGTAACTTTAAGTGAGGCATTCTCTGACACCAAGGACAATGCCCAGTGAAGGACACAACAGTTAGCTCTAATCATCTGATATTTTCAGTGGGTAAAGTTTAGCTATGTTGGCCCTGAAAAGGGAGAGTATCCAGGCAGAGCACCGCAATATACACTGAAATATTTAGTAAAATATTTCATGGAAACAAAATTATGTATAAGGCATGAGAAAAATAAAGCCAACACCAGTGTCTTGACTACCCTGTGTGCTCATCTTCAATTCTCTTCTCTATTCTAAGCAAAGATGATGATTATCTTAATACTTTGTTTATCATTCTATTGCTTTCATCACACTTTACGTTTAGTTTATTGATGTATGTAGCCCTAAACAATATACTATTTAATTTTGTGTGTTCTTGAAATTTAGATGGATAATATCATAAATACATAAGTCTGCTGCAAACTTGCTGTTTTCAATCAACATTATGTTCTTCGGATACATTCATCTTAATATATGAATGACTTTAGTTCATTAATTTTTATAACTACATATTATTCATTTATTATATGGACATAATATATTTATTTGTTTTCCTTTGGTAAATAACTGAGCTGTTCCCAGTTTTTTGCTCCTGTGTTCATGTTACTATGAATATTTTATATACTTCTCTCTTAGAACACTTACTGCAAAAGTAACTTCAAGGTTAAATCTACATAGGAATGTAAATGGGTAGAGCATATATCAACCTCCAACTTCACTAGAGAATGTCATGTTTTACCCCAAACTGGTTTTATAAATTTACACTCAGCAGCGTATAATGAGTCCTGTTTCACTACAATAGAATTACAGTTTTAAATATTGCCAAACTGGTGGCTATAAAATATCTAATTCTACTTTACATTTGCGTGATCCTGGTTTCAAATGAAATTAAGGATCCTTTCATATGTTTATTAGCTGTTTGTGCTTTTATTTCTATGAAATGTTTTTATCTTTTGTTCTTTTTTCTACTGTATGTTTGTCTTATGTTACTGATTTATGAAATCTTTTAATAAATGCTGGATAATAATGTTGTATTAATCTATGTATTGCAAATATTTTTTTTCAGTTTAAAATTTCTTTTCACTTACTTAAATGCATTTTCTGTAACCAAAGCTTTAATATAGTCGAATTCATCAATCTATTAATTCATAGTTTGTGCTTTTTATGCTTCATTGAGAAGTTCTTACTTACCACAAAGTCATAAAGATATATTCAGATATTTTTCTCCTAAAGGTTTTAAAATTTTGTTCTTCATATTTAAATATTTAATCTACCTGGAATTGATTTTCTGTGTATTGTGCAAGATAAAGACATAATTTTATTGTTGTCATTTGGATACCTAATTGTGTGTGTATTCTTTAATGAAAGATCCATCCTTTTTCACTTACCTGAATGCCGTGTCTATTCCAAACCAAGTTTCCACATAGGGGATTTTTAGGTCTGTTTCCAGGATCCCTACTCTGTTCCACTGTTCTAACTCTGGACACAAAACATACTACAAATCACCATAGTTTTAAAATAAGCTTTCATCTCCAGTAGTTTGTTTCTCATCTTATTCTTTTTAGTAGTGTCCTGCCTATTATCAGCATTTTGCTCTTCTATATAGATTTTAGAATAAACTCGGTCTGCATAAAAGCTAAAACTGAAAAATAAAAATATAGGAGAAAATCTTTGTAGCTATGGCTAAGTGAAGATGTCTTAATTAGGATACCTGAATCCCAAAATATAAAATCTCTCTGAATTTTACTGGAATTATACCAAATTTATAAAACTATTTAAATAGAAGAATTATTTTTATTTTACTGAGCCTTTCTATTCATGAACACAGTATCTCTTAATGTCTTTAGGTGTTCTTTAATATCTTGCAATAAAGATTTACAATTTTTTACCATAGAGATCAAACACATATAATGTTAATTTTATTTCTATAGAATTTAGAGTTTTAAATTGTATTTTCTTGAGATAGTTTCTTACATACTAAAATATAATTAATTTTAGATATTATCAATTTTGAAATTTTTATGTAGAAAATTATAATATTAGTGAATAATGTGCTTTGCTTGTTTCTTCCTTTCTGATACTTATATTTTTTTCTTTTCTACAATACTGAATAGAAACAGTTATAATAAATATGCTTGTTTTCTTCCTGATTTTAAAGGAATACTTCTAGTACTTCATTTAGTTTGATATTTGCTATAGATTTTTCATAGCCAAATTTTATCTGGTTAAGACAATTCTCTCCTATTCTTGATGTGCTAAATGTTTTTTCCCCTATGCCTGACTTAAATTTTATGAATGTTTTTTCTGCCCCAGCTGAGGCGATCACACATCTTTTCCCTTCAATCTCTTGATTGAAGAATGACATTAATATATTTTCTAATTTAAACCAGTTTGACATTTCTGAGCTAAACCAAATTGATCCTAAAACTACATTTTTATATAATTTAGGGATTTGGTTTGTCAATACTTTGACAAAGATATTTCTATCAGGTACATATTGTTGACCTCTCTCACATTGCCATTATCGAGTTTTAGTATAGAGAATATGCTAACTTCATAGAATAAGTTGGTGGGACATGTGTTCCCTGGAAGAGATAAGTGAGGCATGAATGATCCCCTTCTGGAATGCTTTACGGGGCAGAACTCCCCAGTAAACCTGCTGGGATGAGATTTCCCTTGGGTCAGAAGCCCTAAGCTCACGCAACTCATTCTTCCTTTTGAAGTCTGATTCATCTAAGTCCAGAGTCATGTAGATTGTCATTAGTAACCACAGGTCTTTTATGAATAACATTTGATAAAGAAAAACTATAAGACTAAGGATAGCTTTACATAAGTCAATTAATTACAATGCAAATATTACCATTAGTTAATCTGATAAAATGCCACAACAGCTCTGATTTTACTATTATGATGTTTCATGTTCAAGACATTCAGGAATTTTGCTTCCCAGTGGGAATGTTTTTTACTCTTTTCAAAAATCAAAGTTTATTCCTCCCTCTCCAGAAATGAATTTTAAGAATAATAAAAATTTTCTTACCCAAGTCATTCGGGCTCTATCTTTTGTGTTGTAGCGGCACTCAGTAATTAGATTATCTCCCTAAAACATAAAAGTATGAGCTTTCAGATTGGAGTTTTATACTGTTTTATTTGTCTAATACATTTGTAGGCCAACAGTTTAATTGCTATATACAGGAATGCATTAAGTAATTTGATTCAGGAGAAGACCTTGACCTACTAAATTCTAGAATTGCTAGTATGATAAACAAGCAAACAAAGTAAGACTGTCTTCAGGCCAGACTCCACCATATTCTAGTTGCATGACCTTAGGTAAGGAAATGAATCATCTGGGCACAGTTTGTTCATCTGAAAAACAATGATAAAAATAGCACTTATTTTTGCAGCTGTCGTGAGGGGATTAAGGGACAAAACACACATTTAATCCTTAGTAGAAATTAAACACTTCATAAATGTTAGCCATAGATACTAATTATTGTGATTATCTCATCATTTACATTATTTTCTTGAAAAGTTTTTAGTCATGTCTTTATTTCCCTAGAACAGAATTGTGAGGCAAATTAATAGTAATCTATTGTTCTAGTGCTTTCTAAACTATTGGACAATTTGGCGCACGTAGAAAATAATATTTTTATGGCTCCCCACTCAAGTAAGTAGATAGGCTGTTCGTGGACCAGATACAGCTAGCTCTGGGTGCTAGCTCTCAGATTTGCCCTCCCTACCCTGCTACTCAGAAAGCCTGGAGGTCAGTATTTCGATACTCTTATACCCTACTTGCAGCATACCATTTGGGAAGCTCTGAGACAATACAATAAACCTAGTAGAAAAGTCCCAAGACAAGACAGCACAATAAAAGGGGGCGTATAGAATCTCAACAAGATCAATGTTTCTCAAATTTCATCTTTCTACTCTCAGGGTACATCAAGGAATTTCTGTATGTAGAAAAGATATTGCTGTTACTTTCATTTCACAAATAGTATAAGAATTGGACTTTTAAGAACGAAGCAAGGGTAGGAAATTATATGATTATCGATCCCGATGGCCAAGGGATAAAAAAATTGACAAAATGAAATGTCATTTAAAAAAAGCCTTCATTATTGTAAGGCATGAAGTTCTCTTCTGAATCCTTCCACCATGACCCTAAGTATTTCTATAAGTGGATTACACACCACAGTATTATTAGCTATGTCCGAATACCTTTCTCAAATGAAAGAATTATCCTTACATTCGTTTTTACTGAAATGAAACTTCTAAAAAATATCCTGTAGCATAAGAAAACCTCTGATTTACCATTACCATAATTGCAGACAAAAAGTTGTTAACTGAGGAGTCAAGTGAGAAAAGAGTAATGTTAATGCTCAAAACCCGATTTTTTTTTCTTTATTTTCTTCGACAATTTGAAGTGCCCCTGGGAATAAAAGAAAAATGAGTTTAAATTTTGGAAAACAGATCAAACACATTCCATCCGGGTTGTGCAATATCCATGGTGGGTGGCTTTAGGAATAGGAAGAAGAATACGATGAGCAATTCATTTCCCCACTCAAAACCTTGCTAATTCTCAGCAGATATATGTCTCACAACTTTTATAATATTCAGTGAAAAAACAACAAAACATGCATACTGGTAAGATGGCTTGTTCTTCCTTTAGATACTGAAACTCCTGGAAATTGAAGTCAAAATTGTCATCATAAGCAAGTAATTTCATTTCCTCCCCTTTGCGAAAATGACGCAGCCTGATGCCTCTGCCAGCCAGGTGAGTGTGAAGAAGAACAGCAAACACATGAATTCCACTTGGCTTTTCAGCTTCCAGAGCCTACGGGGGGACAAAGCAGAAGACTCGATTAGCCCAAACAAGTGCATGTTCAGACAGTTCTTCTTAAAAGAGACTGGGAGAGACAACTGAGAAGAAAAACTAAAGCGATCTAAGTCAATGCTTGAGCCATCAAACATTTTGAGTTTGGATTTTTCACGACTTATTCCTAACATGTTATCTTTGTGAAGCAACATTTGCTGGAGAAAAGAAAGGGAACTAATGATGACTGAGGATCATTCCTAAATGTTATCTTATTTTTCCTCTCTCCTTTTAGGAGGTAAAGAGGCAGTTAAAGCTCCTGGGAAAAGATTCTAGCCTGTTAGTAAGCTGCAAATTGAAACTCTTAAAAAGAGAAATTATTTCCCCTTTTCCAGATTAAAAAAAAATGGGAGAGTGGAATTAAATGAATTGGCTGTGGTCCTACTGGTAAATGATGTCGCAGCAATTTGAATCATGATCTAAATAACGCAGAAGAACATAATCTTTCCACTTCACCAGCTGGCCATGATGTGAACTATAGATGGAAGCAGGCATTGTTAAATACTCATATATGGTTTTCTCTTATCCAAATTGCTCTTTGGTTAAAGAAAAAAAGGAAACTATAAATCAGAGGAGAAAAAATTAAAAAATGAATACTAGGAAAGAAAACAAATAGAGATGAAAGGTAAAGTTGAGAAAGGAAAATTACACAAACGAAGGTGGAAATTGTAAAAGATAAAACAAAGTGTCCAATATGAAACAAAAGAGAGGACTAGGAAGGAAAACATGCTAGAAATTCTTCTGGTCTTCAGAATTCTATTCCTGCAGGCTTCAAGATTTAAAAACATAACCAAAGGTCTTTACAGCATGACAACAAAAAAATAATAAACAAGCATGGCGTTTTCCTAACACGGCTTTCTAACAGCATTCATTAATCTGTAAATAGCAGCATAGACTGAGACACAGTATACCTCTTCCAGGCACTCCAGAGTGCAGTGACCCTCGGAACGGAAGTCGGGCATGCCTGGGGGGATGGTGTGGAAGAGGCTTACCCAGAGGCCAGCCTCGATCACCCCTGCATCGAATTTCCTTATATCCGTTGTATGATAGAACCTCAGTCCAGAATTATCTATTAAGCCTGGAACAATAGAATATAATTAAAAGTGAGCTTGCATTCTTTAAAAAAAAAAAAAAAATCCCTACATTCAGTTGAATTGAGTTCATTAACTTTCCCTAAAATGTCACAAGGGAAAGGAATACAAGCAATGATAATGGGAGACGACATTCAGCTTCACAAATGAGAATTAAAAGACAAGTCATTGTATTGTCGGCAACCATTTTCGACTCTTAGCATACCATGGAAGAAATGTTTGTGTTGTCTAGCTGATATATTCCACAAATATCTAACATGAAGACAGAATGAAAATCCTAAAGTCATTCATTAGAATATAGAACTCAACAAAAGCTTTATTTTATATTGTTTTGAGGTGAAATTCAGTAACAGTTACATAGAAGTGAAAACTCCTTGGTCTAGAAAACTACACCCCATCTGCGGGTGTAGAAAACTACAAATGATTAAATTTCTTTATAGTTTGTTATCATTCTTTTTTTTTAAGTGCTCGATAACTATCAGCTCTTTATGATTATTATTAATATTACTGAATTTAAGGTCTTAGTGGCATATCCAGGCAGAAGTATTCAGGGGAAAATTGAAAATATATGATCACACTTCAAAAATAATTGCGACCAATGCGTGTTATTGGTGTTAGATCTGAGTGTTGGAATTGACTCTGAGAGTGAGCGAGATCGCCCAAGGAGCAATAGGAATACAAGGAACAGAAGAGAATTGGACAAAGAGCCCTGGACAGAAGGGTAAAGTGGACGGAAGGAACAGTAGTAGCACAGATAGTGCACGTTTAGAGAGATTAATATAATGGTGATCATTAACATAAAAGATTGCAGAGAAGTAGGTAGAGATGAAGGACAGCAAAGCTGATTTGATAGAAGCTGTGAGAGGGATGTTTCAGATGCACGGTGGGGGCAGAAATCAGATTTTAAGGACTCAGGGATTGACTAGGTGGTGAAGACATGGAGACAGTGAATGCAGCTTTTCCTTCAATGACTGTGGTGAGGAAAGGAGGAGCTGGTGTGGGAGCAGGGGCACTGAAAGTTCGGTGTTGACAGATTTCAAGTATGTTTCAGAAGGAAACTGAATCTGAAGAGAGAAGAAGAGTAATTTCTTTCTCTTCACAGCTTCTATTTCTACTACTGCTTCCTTTCTTTAAACCAGTTCAACATTAAATGTCTGTTTTGGACCAGGCATTGTTCTTGGGACTGGAAGCAAAATGACATGCAGTTTGTCATCATTCTTTTAAGTATTCAACAGTTATTCAATCAACAATTGTTATGAATCTATTATCTGAAAAGCACTACAATAGGCATTGTGGGATGGAGATGAATAAGAATCATTCTTTGTTGTGACATACTTCGGAGACAAAGTATGAATCTAAAACTTCTTAAATTTGTTCCATTAACTTTTTGAAATTAATTAACTCTTTTCTGCAGAGGTGACTTACCTACCCATGACTGACAAAATGATTCTTGGATCAATTAGCTTGTATATAATTTTATGTTAATTGGTATATTTATTTGTTTCTCTTTCACATTAAACTATAATGTGTCTGTTTTTCACAAACATCACATAGTTGGTGTTCAGTATTTGCTGAATGATTGCACAAATCAATGTAAAATAGTAACTGAATTGCTTCTTTTGATAACTTCATATTGAATCTTTCAATTTTTGGTTTTGAATATTACATAAGTAAATTCAGAAATCAAATGTAAATACTTACCACTCTTTGTTTTAATAGCATATTATACAGTGTGACTACATAAATATTTTTGAGTGTATTTATGCTTAGCCTGTCACACTACAAAATACTTAATATTTTCTAGTGTGATGAATAGTAGTTTTCATGTGTAGTAAGAAAAAAATGTTTCAAAGCACCATGTATTTGGGACTAATTTACATCACAAAGGAAAAGAGTCTGCAATAAATGGTCTGCAAATGTTTTTTTTAAGATTAGTGACCTCAAGGTCCATTTGCCTTGTTACTGATGCTTGTCCCAGTGTAATTATTAATAGTACCCTCTTTTGCTCTAAAAAGTATTCTGATTTGAATTATAAATGTATAGGTTAATTCTTTCTAACACTGGATGCTATTTTATTTCAACTCTAAGACAGAAGTTACAAAACTTTTCAAAATTCATAGGTAGAATATATGAAGAATAAACTCACCTTCCTCATAAGTCGGATTGTCATAATGGACTTCCAGGAGTACATAATGAGGATCCAACGGAGTGCCCAGGGATAATCCAACATGAGGTGGATAGGAAAAGCCCTAAATAAGGAACATTTCATGAAACAGTGTCCTATGAAAGACCCTGAGAGCTCTACACCACTCTGAAACTGACCATGCTCAAAGATATTTTGATATTCTGGAACTTCATTAATCTATAGTTGATGAAATAAAATGGTTTACGGAAAGAATTACTTCCTGTGGAAAGAAAAATAAGCCACCCTCATATCAAAAGTAATGTATAGACAGACCCTTTACTTATAAGTATTAGAATTATAAGGAAAAAACTTGATCAATTAATTGTGCTACATCTTAGTAATCATTAGCCCCACCTCTCCACCAATGGCCCAGGCAAAAATAACGGTCTCGCAGGTGAGGAACGCATCTGGCATGTTAGGGTGGTAGCACTCATGGCCATAGTCCAGAACGCTGTCGTTGAAATTGCTGCTGCACTGATAGAGCAGGATGTGATGGACTAGACTCTCGTGGCCTCTCTGTATCATTGGCTCAACCTAAATAAGCACAAATAAGAAGAATGTAATAAATTAAATTACCCTATAACATGCCGCAAGAAGCATGAAACTAGCATAAATGATTATCAGTTTTACAAAGGAATACTTTTCTCAATTATGTAAAGGTTATGTTGTTCAAGTATAATTTGTTCTGGAGATGATGACAATGATGATGATGATGACGATAATGATGATGATGATGACGATATTGATGATGATGATGACAATAACAAAGATGAGATAACCGTTTACTCCAAGAATCATAGGACTTTACTAATATGTTGTTTGTTTGTTTTTTAACTCACTTTTGTTTCCCTTATCATTCTGCATAGCAGCACGTTCAAAACTTGCTTGCTCTCTTCCAGGTTTTACTTTTCCATTGCTCCCTTTCCCCTTTTTTTTTCACATAGAAAAAAAATAAGGCTATAAGTATAACTATCTAGTCTCCCTCTCTTCCACCTCAAAATGTTATCTTCACTGACTCCTACTGGAAGTGATAAATGATGTCTCATTTGTCTATCTATCTATCTATCTATCTATCTATCTATCTATCTATCTATCTATCCACCTATTTTCTGTCTGATGCTGAGCATAGAACTGGACACAAAGTAGGGCTCAATAATGAATATTTTTATTTTAGTAATCGAAATCAAATTCTAATAAGAATTTTACTATTAGAATTTGTGAAAGAGAAAGAAACATTGTAGTGATGTGCTCCTGTGACACTGCTCAAATTAGGAGAGGGAAAGTAGAAACCAGTGAAAATAGAATAAGTAGTGAAGTTAGTCCCAACACTGAAAGCAGGATCCATGTGAACATGCTCCTGCCTTTGTTCTTTCTGTTAGTTCCCTTGGCCACTTTCAGTCCAGGAACTCAGAAGAAGCTAAGCATGTCTTAACATCCCAACGAGCCTTATATCCAGAGGAAATGCATGAGCCCTGTACTTAGCCCAGCTGGTCTATGGGTGTTGCCATCAATTACAATGTTCTTTGGATCTTCTATTTATCTGACAAAGAAGCTTTCATGTGTCCCTAAATTTCCAAGAGTTTAGGTGTCTTGGAGCTCATCCACACTGCTGCTTTTAGTCTTAACTACTTAAATGAAGGCGATGCATTTTAAAGTGCTTGCTTGTTCTCTGATTCAGACATGAATATAAAGATAAAGTGTTTTCAGCTATTTTCTCCTAAAGCTTTCCATTTTGATTTTCTACGTAGGTTTTCTTTTTTTTCTTTTAATAGAAAAATCTAAGCAGCAAAAGAGAGAAATGGTATGTGATAGGCAGAGATCTGAATAAGCAGCCCAGGGTTCAAGTTTTAAAATCCAGCTTTTTCATGTGTTGCCCAGTGAATCATGCCTTACTTACAATATGTACATTTTTAACATCGCATTCACAGAAATGACATTGCACATGGCTTTGTTTGCACTCGTCTAGTCTCTAAAACATTGTGCACCCTGAAGGCAGAAACTATTTTCTATTTTGCTTGGAAATGACAGTTATTATTCAAGCATGGTTGCATAATATACAACAATTACATAAAAGGGTAACCCAGGATTTCTATTAGATTTTAGTTTCTACATCTAGTTTGAGTTTTCTTGTGAGACTTGATTTATTTGGGTACCTCAGTACTCCCAGGGGGACAGGGCACTGCTAATATGTCCACAGTAAAATATTTAGGCACATATGAGATGTTTGCTAAGTGTCTTATAAGTTTAAGCAGGACCAATAGGTTGTACTGAGCTCTACAAGGTAGGCCCACGAAAGGAGCTGTTAGAGCAAATAACAGTTGGCTGTTGCCAAGGCAACTGCAGAAACTAGTGGCCTTCATTGAGGCATAGCAAGAGAGAGCTAAGAGTGTGCATGCAGAGATGTGAGACTGGGTGGTGCCTGCCAAACAGAAGCTTCAAATAAACTTCTTAAAAGCACGCTTTAGGAGCAAGTTCTTTTTTTTTTTTTTTCTTTTTTCTTTTAATATAGGAAGTACTGAAACTAACACCAAGCTTCCAAGTTACCAATACATTCTAGGAATAATAATATTATTTTTTCTTCAGCACCTACTATCTGCTAGCTACTATATTAGACATATTTCAGTTAATATTTATAACAAATCTATAAGGTAAAGGTTAATCTACATTTTACAGATATGAAAACTGAGACTCAGTGATTAAGCAACTAGCCTAAAGTACCACAGGTAGGAACTGATAGATGGGGATTTGAAACCAGACTTGCCTGACCTCAATCAAAGTCAGTACTCCTAACTGCAATACATTATTGCAGAAAGACCTGCTGGAGATGCACCAAGGACCCTGGAAATTGTTTCCAATGAGATGGAGGATGAAAGGCTTCACTAAGAAAAGTAGCTGATAGATGCCAGCAAGGAAGGTGATGACACCACACAACTGCACTTCTATTCAAAAAATATTAAATGTATAGAAATTGTCCAAGAAGGTATGGCAATATAAAGTATACAAATATAGATAAATTGGTATTTCTGAGACTGGAATAAACATTTAATTTAATTTAATTTTTGTTTTAGTCTGGCTATATGATTGCAGAAGAAATAAATAAAAAAATATATATAAAGTAGTGATATGGAAGTGGGTGGAAGTGAAGCAAACTCCTGGTGACATATTAAACCACATTATTGATCACTGTGTCCTTGTACATAGGTAGGATTTACAGACCCAGAACAGACAATAGTCCTGCACGCCCACCATCGTATGTAATAGACGCCTGGCAAGGATGGCTTGGCAAGTGTGAGTTATTTATTAGCCTCAGACATAATAAAGACTGAGAACCAAACACAGATGAAAGAGAAGAAAAAAAGGCTGCTAGGCACAGCCAAGGCCAAGGTGGAAATTAAACTGTTTTAACCATAAAACTGAACTTGGGAAGTATAAAGCCCCTGTGACCCATCATCTCTTACCCTGTTTACCCAGGTCAAAAATGTCTAGGACAGTCCCTGCAACACAGAGACTGCTTAACAACTATTTACTGACTAGAAATGAGTGAATACTTCCCCTTCCATGAAGCCAATATCAATGAGGCTGTTCACTGCCTCCTAATTTCTTGATTGTCTCTCAATAACATTGATTTACCCTGCGCTGCACTTCAGCAACCCAATCCCACTATCGCACTCTGTACTTATAACCACCCAGTACTCTACTCCCTCTGAAACACTCTGTCCCTCATTCCTGATCTTTTAGTTCTTTAACATCTTTCCAGTCATTCAACCCACCACTTTTCCCCAAGAGGTCACTTACTTACCAACCCCTCACTACTGACCTAGGTGCTCACAACTGTGAATCAGTTCTGCAATCTTCCCCTTCTGATCCTCCTGTTGGGATACTGAAGATACTTTCACAACCATTCATATAAGACCTCAGAATTCATGATTCAGACTTTTGCCTCCACATTTCGATTTTTCTTTATTTTGCTCTGCATTCTGTTCCTCGGCTATGAATAAGTACAACCTGTTTGGTGCAGGGTACAGGCACTTTTCTCCCATTGCAAACCTTTTAAAAACCGTGCATACCTCCTAATTGGTTTTCAGTAAGTGACTCGATTATTTTCATGAGAGAGGAATGAATGTCTGTACACTCTAGCTGCACAGGACAGTTGGGGGTAGAACTTGATAAAGGACTAAATGATTAAAAAATCTTAAACATCAGCAACCTTTATACATATTCAGTTTTTTTTTTTTGAAATATACAAAAATTATACAAAATAATGAGATGACTTAAATAATCTCATTTGGTGTCACCCTATTCTAGTCAGGATAAAAAAAGACAGGGATAAGATTTAAAAAAAAAAAAAACAAAAAAACAAACTTATGTGTCTCAAAATTCCTTAGAACTTATAACCAAGGCACTATTTCAGAACAAGAGGTGAGGGTAGCTCCATAGTGTAATGGTTAGCACGTCTGCTTTACATGCAGAAGGTCCTGGGTTCGCACTCCCGATGGAGCCACGGACCATCGCCCGGGTGCACCAGGCCCCGGGTGCACCAGGCCCCAGGTGCACGCCGCGAGCGCATGGGAGGAGATTCCCCATCTTCAGAGATCCAGCCCTTAAGGGGAGATGGCAATATCCATAGGGCAATATCCGTAGGGGGTGAAAAATCTTAGAGGAAATATATGTTATCTTTCTGTGATTGGAGTTGGAGGATCCTTGACAAAACTGCCTGCCTTCTGGTCTTTCACCAGCACCTATTGTGAAACAGATTCAGTTCAAAATGGTCTTCTGAAAGCCACGGAGCATCGGTAAACTTAATTCACATTCTTTTGCAACCTTCAAATACCAATCACTTAAACAATAACACTTGATGAAACATATATATTTGTTTAATTGCCCTGTACTGGGTTGAACAGTATCTCTCCAAAATTCATGTCCACCTAGAACCTCAGAATGTGACCATATTTGGAAATACGGTCTTTTTCAGATATAATTAGATAAGATGAGGTCACACTGTCTTCGGGTGGGTCATAAATCCAATGACTAGTGTCCTTATAGAAAAGAAAGAAGAGGGAGATTCAGATTCAAACAAACAGAAAGAGAAGATGGCCATGTGAAGACAGAAGCAGATATTGGAGTCAAGCTGCCATAAGACAAGGAAAGCCAGAAACTACCAGAAGCTAGAAGAGCCAAGCAAGGATTCTTTCCTAGAGCCTTCAGAGGGAAAATGGCCCTGCTGACATCTTGATTTTGGACTTCTGGACTCTAGAGCTGTGAAAGAATAAGTTTCTGCTGTTTCAAGCTACCCAACTTGTGGTCATTTATTATGGTACTCTAGAAAGCTAATAGATCACCCACTCACAGACTTTTTTTTTTTATCAGAAACTAACAATTTGCAGATTTGTACATTTTATGTAGGTCCTAATTATCCCTGTGTTTGTTCATGACATGAATTTATCACAAATACATGCTTCCCCTACTTGGTTGAGGTTAAATAGGTTTCATTATCTATATTAAGTATAGTGTATCTTGCTTTAGTTTTTATTTTG